TCTGCTCAGGGGCGGTGAGATTGCCACAGGAGGTCACCGCTGACCAGGCCAAGATGACGCAAAGAGAGTCAGCTTTGCCGTCAACCAGTAGGAAGAGCAAGAGGTAGGGAAGACTAAGGGTCAGTGGGCACACAGTGGCCTTTCCCAACTTCATACAGAACAGGTTGGTTTTGGAGACAGACTTTTCTGTGAGAAGAGCCGTTGGATCGTGTGGGCTCCAGACTTGTCCTGAGCCCCACCCCCTTCTTTAGGGGTCTCTTGGGGAGTATGGCCAGAACCAGGCTTCAAGTGGGACCACTTCATCAGGGGTTCTGTGGCCAAGATGCCCACCCTTTCTTCTCTAAGGCCCTGCAGCATATGAGAAGGAAGACTGGACAGGGAATAGTTCCATGTGATCAAGGCCAGGGGTAGCCAGAAGTAAAGCAATACGGGGATACCGAAATCTTGATCATCTGATCCTAAGGTATTTGTTCTCTGGAGTCCACAGGTTCCAGAGTGGGTGTCTGGAAATGAACAGCAGAGTGGGTGTCCGGAAGTTAACAGAACTTTCTTGTATCTCTTCCTCGGGGCTCCTAGTCACCCTCTATATGGTAAACTCCCTCTTTAATATTTGGCCCCTGGAAATACTTGGGACTCTCAGAGACTAAGCTAAGAGAGTGAAGACAAGTCCTTTCTAGCTAAGGTTTGTCCTTCGTCCAGGTCCAGATCTATTAAACATCTGAGCTCAGACCCTGGTGTCAGATTACAGTCTAAGCCTCAACTCTGCAGTTTAGCAGTCCTGTGATAGGGATTAGGGTTAACAATTCCAAGCCTCAGATTCTTCACTTGCAAAATGGGAATAATGAAAATTTTCATTTCAGAGCTTCGTTATGAGGAACAAAAGAAATAAAGCCTTCCTTCGAACAGAGTTTGAACACAGCAAGTACTTGGCGTTAGGAAATACTGTGTCCGCAAGTACATACTTATCATGAAGCTATCTCTTCCCTGCGGTGATTAACAGGAATTGTCTAACTTCTCGTCAGATAGGTGTGGCTGAAGTTATTAGGCCATCACCATCATTGTATTTGAGAATGTGGCCTGATAGCACAAAAATTCATGCAAGAAGAAACACAGTCAGAGGTAGTGAGCAGACTGCAGAAAAAGTGGACTCCTTTCTTTACCCAATGCCTAAATCACTCTTATGGGAAATTGCTTTCTTATGAATAAGGACCCCCCCAACAAAAGTGTAACAGGGTGGTCCCTAGGAAAAGGGGAAGTTCCAGGCTCCCTGCCCCACCCAGAAGGAGGGTGCAGCTGAGAAGAGAAAAAGAGAAGAGAAGGAATCTGAGGAAGAAGGAAGCAGGATGGGAGCCAGAAGGAGACCTGAGGAAGCCACACAGAGCAAAGGGAGACATGTGAAGAAACAGTGTTTATTTCTTGGCCCTGGGCTAGTTGAAAGAGATGTGGGTGAGAGACTCGTGTGGAAGGAGGTGACTATGGCAGTGTTTATATTGATTTTGATGTTGCTCTTTTCCTCCCAGACTTGTCTGGCCATTTCTGACGCTTTTCCATGGGTCCCGGCCAGAAGGTGTTTTAGTCTTGTGGCAGCTTTCAGGCCTTGCTTTGGGCCAATCCCTTTTGGGTTGACTGTTGCCCACGAGGGGATGGGTCACTTCAGGTGTTTGATTTAGAAGTCATATTCTTTGTCTTTCGTATTGATACTCACTGTATTAAAGTTCCTTTTAATTAAAGTCTTATATGTTTTGTCTTGATGCGGCAGATGGCAGAACCTATTTAGAGCAGTCAGGTTTGGGGGTTCTGGGGTGCCCCTCTCCCTGCCCTATAACAAAAGGATACTGTTCTAGCCAGGAGTTCTCTAGAGAAATAAGACCCTATTAATTAAATGTTATCATGAATAAAATTGTATGTAATTATACACTGAATAATTATATGTCATAAATATATGTAAATAATTAATGATAGAGAACTGCCAATTTGATTATGAAGACTGAGACATCCCAAGAGCTGTCGTTGCCAAGCTGGAGACCCAGGAGAGCTGATGCTGTAGGGTCCAGCCCAGGGCAGGAGAAGGGCCATGTCCTGGTTCCAGCAGGCAAAATTTCTTTTTACACAATCTACTGATCCCAACATTGTCTCATCCAGACACACGCTCAGAGACACACTCAGAAGCTGACCAAATATCTGGGCTCTCCATGACCTGGTCTAGCCAACACATAGAATTAATCATCACAAGGACTTAAAAACATGTCCTTCCTTGTTTGCAAACTTCCACTCAGGGATGAAGGTGGCATGAGGAAAGTTTCACTAAGAGACCCGGGTTACTACAGGAAAATAATGTTAAGACACCAGACTCGAAAATCAAGACAAAGTAGACATTTTCACGCCAAAGCTTCCGAGGCCACTGTCCTTGTCTGCTCTGGCAGCCATTACAATATACTACATGCCAGCAGCTGAACAGGATTTCATTTGCTCACCATGCTGGAAGCTGGAAGCCCAAGATTAAGGTCCAGCAGGCTCAGTTTCTGCTGAGGTTTCTTTCTGAGCTGTGGCCAGCCACCTTCTCCCCGGTCCTCACATGGCCTTCCCCAGGATATGCTCTCCTGGGGTCTCTCTCTTCTTCTTTATTAAAAGATTTTGTTTTTACACAGAAGAACTGGGGTACAAATTAGAGGTATGGGGAGGAAGAAGGGGAGAGGATTCACCAGAAACAGAGTGGGGAGCAGAACAGGCAGATCAGTAAAGTACACTGCTGAGGGGAGCAGCAGGCAGGTCAGAAGAGGTCTGCTGTGCCATGTGGGTCACCTCCCTGGCCAGGGATTGAACTTGTGCTGCAGTGGCTGCAGACAGCTTCATAGTGCTGAGTCTTAACCCCTTGTGTGCCACCAGGGAGGCCCCAGCCTCCCTCTTCGTATAGGGATATCAGTCCCATTGAATGAGGGCCCCGCTCTTGTAACTTCATTTAACCAGAATTACCTTCCTTTATTGTCTCCCCGTGCTTAGGGCTTTAACGTATGAATTTGGGGGGGATACAGTTCAGTTACTCTTCTTTTTATCTCCTCAGAACCAAAAGATGCTATATTCAGCATTGTGGGATAATCAGGGCTCCCTCCACCTTCACTCCCCAAGGGGAGAGACGTGAGGTTCAAAGGGCATGACAATGAATATAAGAGAGCAGCATCTTAGCATTAGCATCGCTATCATCTTTATCCTGAGACATTAAGAACCTGCTCATAATGTACTTTTCGGTTTGCAAAAGGAATTTCTAGAATTTAATTTAACAATGTTCACCAGGCGTCTCGGATGCACCAAATGAGCCCATTTTGTTGGGGAAGGCCACAAGGTGAATACCACAAACTTCGCCCTCAAGTAGAAAATACCACAAACCAAGCCCAAAGTAGGAAAAAAGACAAATTGAATAGAAATAAGGGAATAAAATATGTATAAAAAATAAAATATGTATTTCTCTTCCAAGAGAAATACAAACATAATGAATAATGGTCATTACCCTTCTTGGTAGCTCCCATGTCCTGGGCAGCTTACTCAGGATTCTAAATAGCCGGTACCCCAGGCTGTCACGTACAGAAACATAGAGCTCATAATTCACTAGGCTGTACAACGTGTCAGTGTGAAGCATGGTGCTTAGTTCTCACACTGCTGCAGATGACTCGGACCTGTGTTCTCCCTCAGCATAAACAGGTGGTGGGCAGAGGTCACGTTGCTGTGCTCCTACGAATACAGCTTTCTCATTCTCCTCTCAGGCAGGGAGGGCGCCTCTGGGCCTGCCCTTGGGAACCTGGAGAGCCTGTGTCTGGCCAAAGCCGTTCTGTGTGGTAGTGTCTCCAGGGAAACCAGAGGCTGCCTAGAGGGACTTGGGGCGCGGTGGTCAGGTTCCCAGGACAATGAGAGAGAAACAGACGCTGGGTTACACTCTTCGGTGGGGATTGGCTTCCGGTGGGGAATTTTGCAGTCAGACTCAGGAAAAATTATTATCCAGGGCCCTCTCTGGTGGCGCAAGGGGTGAAAGTGCAGCACTAAGAGGAAATCTGCAGCCACTGCAGCACAAGAGTTCGACTCCCCACCAGGAAGGTGACCCACATGGTGCCGCACCTCTCCTGACCCACCGCTGCCCCCCTGGGCAGTGTGTTTCAGTCTGCTGCTCTGCTCTCCACCCTGTCTCTGGTGAGTCCTCTCACCACTGCTTCTCTGGCCTGTGTCCCAGTTCTTGTATGCAAAAGTAAATAAATCTAAAAAAAAGAAGAAACAATTATTATCCAGCCACCATCAACATGGGGCAGGAGGGAAGTTTCATAATGTGACCTGACTCTCCGGGGACATTGCCAAGAGGGGGGCTGGTCACCCGGCCAGGAGACCCCAGTATCACTCTGCACCGCGACTTAAGCGGGCACGGGCACCTGCAGCGACCCCGCCACGCGGGCATACTACCTCATTTAACTCTCAAAGACCAGGTAGACTGAGGTAGAAAGCGGGGTGGGGGTGGGGTGTGGGGGGCTTCCTGCAGAAGCCACGGCTGGCTCCAGCGCGGATGGAAAGCAGAGAGCAGAGAGCAAGCCTGCCGCTGGCACTGGGGAGCCCCGCACCCACCCTCAGCCTCGGCACCTTTAGCTTGAGGTGACCGCCACCAGCTCTGCCCACCGGGTGCCTTTCCTGCCTACGTCTGTCCTTCCCGGGCAGCAGCAGGAAGAGAAGTCTGGGGTAGAGACGGCATGCTTGCCCACTTTTTCCTGCGGAGCCGGGGTGCCAACCCAGGGTGCGCTCTGCGCGCAGTTCCCGCCGCGCGGTGCCCAAAGCCGAGCTGGTCCGAGAGGCCGGGAGGGGCCAGGCCGCCGGGGATTTGAGCCGCGGGAGGGCGGGGAGGAGCCATTGTGACCTGCCCGTCCCCCCTCCGCGGGCTCTGTGATGCAGCCGGGCAGCTGCGGGCCCAGCATGTCTGTCCCCGGCCCCCGCCCGCCCAGTGTGTCACAACAGCGGAGGCGGCTGTATCTGGAGCACTTGGGGTGGGCAGGCCAGGCTGCGAGGCGCGGGTGAGAGAGCGGCCAGGATGGTGAGCCTTCTGGGTTATTCCGGGGGGTGCTTCTGGGGGGTCGGGGGTGCTGGGCAGGCGCCCAGCAGACTAAGGGGTGCATGGGCTTCCCAGTGGCAGATCCCGAAGTGCCATGTTGGGGGCAGCGGGGTGGGGGGCGCGGGTGGTGTCAATCCAGGGAGGAGGAGGCACCCCCGGGTGTCCTTTATTACCGAGGAAAAGTAGGACCCCGGTGAATCGCCCTTCAAAGGACCTGAGGGGGATTTACGCAAGCAGGTGCCGGGAGGGAGGATGAGGGAGCCGTGCAGAAAGGTGACAGTTTGAGGGGTACCAGAGTGGGGAAAGGAGGGGCAGTCCAGGCGTTGATGCTTGGGCTGTGCTGGGGAGGGAGGCGGACGAGGGGTGGCGGGCAGGCCCCCAGACCCAAGTAAATGTAACTGGGGACTTCAAGACTACAGTGCTCCCGGGCCTGCTTCCTCTCACCTTACCTGGCCGGCCACCTGCCAGGGTTGGGGCACCTGTAACTCTAGGGGGTGCCGAGGCTGCCCGCTTCCCAGTGGCCAAAGTCAGCAGGACTTGCACACAGCAGTCTCCTCCAGAAGGCTGGGCACGCCACACCCAGGGTGCGACCCCCTTCCCCCAACTTCCATCTATCTCCTTTGATAGATGTTGATCTTACCTGCTGGGCAGGGACCTTCAAAACAGTATGCTGCTCCACTCTCTGCACCTTCCAAATCACTGGGTGGTGGCTTCATGGGGTCCATCGTTGCTTCTGTGCACTTTTTAATATTTTCTAAAATATGTGTGTGTTGCTTTCTTTTTTAATTAAAAAAATTATTTATTTATGCCTACAAGAGCAAGGGTACAGGCCAGAAGTGGGGGAGGGGGAGGGTGGTTTGCATCCAATTCGCTTCTCTGAAAGCCTGGAAATTCAGACATCCATTGCCCAGAGCCCTGGTATTTCAGGTCACAAGGACTTGGGCTGGAAAGATTGGGTGGGGGAGGAGCAATGAGCATGTCTCAAAGGCCAAGGTCAAGCTCTCTGGTTACTCTAGCTCCAGGTGTCAGTGACAGAGCAGGCCAGTTGAGAACCTCCCCTCCTCCTCCCTCCTCCTCCCTGGTGTCGGACAGTGCCCAGGGCCTTCTGGCCGGGGCCCCAGCTCTGCTGTGCCCCGGGTCTGTCCTTCCCCAGTGCGAGCTCCCAGACACTTAAAGAATCTGGGGGCGAGTCCCGACAGTGACGGGAGGAGAACCCACTCCTGTCTGAGGTTTCCCTGGTGTGGAACCACGAAAAGAAGCCAGAACTGGGAGCTCAGAATGTCGGTGCCTGTTTCTAGATCTAGCTGTGTTACATCAAGAAAGTCACTTAACCTCTCTGGAATGGCTTTTCTCACCTATAGAACAAAGATGGGTTCTAGTGCAAATGCAAGCATCCACCCCACTTGAATATTTTAAATGTTTGTGTTATGCAGACTTTCAGACATCTGTGAAAGGGGAGAGCAGCATAATGAGCCTCTTCTATACACCATCCAATTTCAACAACGACCTCTTGAGTCCCCTTTCCCTGTCTCCCCATTACTCTGAAGTGAGTCCTCGGCAGCAGACTCAGGATCTGGGGTTTAGTATTTATATTATAGAGTATATGCTTTCCCTTGCGTGTTTTAATTTTACCCTGATGCCAGGGTGGAGACAGGGGACCACCTCTAGCCCCCTCCTCTTCCTTCTTTCTCCCCCCAACTCCCATGTGCACTCGATATGCAAGATACAAGTTTCTGGAAAAACTTGGTGAATAAATGAAACTGTAAAATCTTATGGTAAATGTGCTAAAGAATCTGAATGTGAATTCAACCCGTGGTTGAATATTTTGAAGAGAGGCCATCTTTCGTTTGCTGTGCAGTGCTGAATGTATAAAGCAGGTTCTACGTAGAACATTTGCCTGTTGCATGGGCAGTGCTGTCAAGGAGAAATATTTTGTATTGAACATTTCTTTCTCACAGAAACCCCCCACCTCTTTTTTTTTAATCCCTTGACTCATTCCTGATGGATTAGGATGACACATCTATAAACCCACACCAGGAAATCAGACTCAGTATTTCTCTTGGTTCTAGGTAAGAAATTTATAGCTGATTCTACAGTTGGACATTCTCATCTGTCCCCAGTGTCCCTCCAGTAAGCAGTCTCTGGGAACTGAGACTATGATACCTTCCCGGGGACCATCCTGATCAGGTACCCCAAGCCAAGCCTGTAGCCACGACTGCAGGGCGCAGGAGAATGTCTGTGGCTTGGGGGAGTGAGAGCCTCCTACCCGCATCCTTCTGGACTGGGGATAGAGCCCCAGCTCAGAGTGGACGGGACTAGGCATCCCACAGAAGCAAGCAGTTAGAGCATATGTGGTCAGGGGGAGGATGGACATTGCTCCTCTGTCTGTGGCCCTGTGACAGCCCCTGTGTGAGTGGCCTGGCTGAACCCTGAATTTCATGGGTACATTCTGGCTTCAAAGGACTGTTGGGGTTCCCAGGGGCTGCATGTCTGGCTGCACCCCCCTTTCCCATCTCTCAATGCAGGTTCCCCCAGAGCCAGTGGGCACCTTTCTCTGGACCCAGATGAACAGGAGACCCCCAGGCAGGGGTTGGGCAGAGGTCCTGGGTAAATCAGAGAAACTTGTCAATGCCTCGCTGACCATAGCAGCACAACAGATAAGTGTTGTGGGAGTGAACCAAGCAGGCAACTTTTGTGTTTGTACCAGCTCGCGACTTGAGGGGGCTGCCGTGTGCTTCAAGGCTTTCAGACTCAGATCAGGCCCATGCCCGCTAGAGGGTGAATGTTGTTGCTCAGGGACCTTTCCTTGGAGGCTTCTGTTGGCCTTGAAAGGAAGATGAAATGCTAAAAATAAATTTGGAGGAAGTGACCAGTGACTGCAGGGCCCGTGATGGGGCTTGGGCCTGAGACTGTGGTGCCCTTGGGTGTGGAAATGAACCAATCGCTATTTTCCCTTTGGCCACCCAGGGCCTGACAATACTGTGACTTCTGTGGTTGACATTTCCTCTGTTGGTGTCTTCCTGTTTGACTTTCTCCCCGATAATGAGCTGTGGGAAGGAAGGGGAAACAGTACTTGCTGTGTGATAGGGTTAAAAACTCAACTGGCTCGTTCTTGCCCACTGTTGCAGCCGAAGCTCAAGGGCCTTTTGAAATCATAGGGTCTCTTAGCTGGGCGTCTACTTAGAACATACCCCGACATTCCCAAAGCCAGGCTGGAACTGTCCCTTTGCTGCAGACCTGCAGCGCCTATGGTCTGAGGCCTCTCCCAAGCCGACTCTCGATTTTAATTTAGGTCACCTCTTTGTTCTCGCTGTTTCTAGCTTGCTATCTAATCTTTGTTCTCAGTGATGCCAGCTATGGTGTAATTGAAGGGTTCTGAGCAAAGATAACTCAAGCAATCATGAGTCACGTTTGTTCTTACTTTAATTATCCCTGTTGCTGGGATCTACTCTACTTGTCATCTCTGACCTAGATTCTAAAATATGTGGCATTCACCATCCCGCCCTGACAGCAAGACACAGTGGGGTAATGATCTGCTTCCTCAAAACAACTGTGTGGCATTTGACCATACAGGTGCTCACACAGCTCAGGGGTATGTGGACCGGGGTGGTCTCAGACACTGCAGGCCAGCTTAACTGTATTGTGGTGTTTCAAAAGGATTTGAAAGTCACAGAGCCTCCTGCAAGGGGATCATGATTAGCTGATCTTAGCCCTCTGAGAGCAAAGCAAAAAGAAATAACTAAAATTAAAATAGAATAATAGACGGTTGACACATGGAAGATTTCTTGTGGTGGAATTATAAGAAAGCTGGAAAGTTCTAGAACTTTTTTTTTTTTGACATTCTGTAGCATACAGTCTCCTCTCCTGTGGGGGATGGTTGTAGGTGGCACAGATGTCTTCTCTGCGCTGCCCTTCATGAGCCCACGCTTGAGACACATGGAGCAGTTTGTGGGCTCTGCCCTAAGTCTCCCTGCCTCCTCCCAAATCCACCCAAAATGCCCCGAAATCAGGTTGGCATGACTAAGTTGCCTCAAGTCTCCATCAGTATGCCTCCTCCAGGAAACCACGCCAGAAGTAGTGTTTCTCCTCCAAATTCTCATCACCTCCTAGGCACTGCCTCCCCACCCCCGCCCTGGCTAAGCACATCTGAGCCCCTTCCCCCATCCCCCACGACAGAATTTTCAGTCTAAGCACCCTGACATGAGGACCTGATGCATGCAAACTGCACGCTTGGGGCTGGGGTTCAGAGAGTAAATCGGGGCTCCCAGCCTAGAGATCTTACACTCTCAAATTGGGCTCTTGGTAAATGTAAGTTAAAACAATGACCAAGCCAGTGAGACAGGAAGAGCCTGGGCTCTTCAGGATAAGGGAATTGCTGTGAGTGGAGACTACTCCCCTCTCCTAGTATTTCCTTGCTTCAATTTCTTTTTCACTTGAAAAGGAAAAATTTCAAACCTTCCTCTGTCTTCTAGTGCAAACAGAAGTTATTATTTTCCTACCATGTTTACTTTACCTGCTGTGTTTGTTTAAGTATTTTAAAGGAAATGATATCATTGTAAGGTTCAAGTGACCTTACAATGTGACATTTTCATACTTAGCTCAGATTTCAACATCATGCTTAACTTACTACTCGTTTTTCTATTTGTCACTCAAATATTTTATTTGGTCAAAGCAGAACTCAAAGTTTCTTTTGACTTGAAACAGTTGCTCCCATATAGCTTTTTCATGCATTAATCTTAGTCTAGAGAATATCCCATTTATTTTGTTGTTTTTACCATGATGGCCTGAACTTTTCCCTCTGACCCAGCATTTTCTGTAAACTGAAGGCTATATTAAATTAAGGCTGATAATTCTTTTTTTTTTTTCACTTTTTACTTTTTTTTTAAAGATTTATTTATTTGTGCATACAGAACTGGGGTACAAGCCAGAGGTGCAGGGACAGTGAGAGGCTTCATCAGAGACAGAGTGGGGAGCAGAACAGGCTGACTGCCGAAGTACACTGCTGAAGGGAGCAATGGGCGGGAAGGCTGATAATTTTTTTTTTTCTTTTTTTCTTCTCAAAGATTTATTTATTTGTGCATACAGAACTGGGGTACAGGCCAGAGGCTTAGGGGCGGTGAGAGGCTTCACCAGAGACAGAGTGGGGAGCAGAACAGGCAGATCGACGAAGCACACTGCTGAGGGGAGCAGCGGGCGGGTCAGGAGAGGTCTGCCTCGCTATGTGGTCACCTCCGGGGCAGGCGGCAGGCGGGAATCGAACTCATGCGGAAGTGGCTTCAGATTCTCACTGCTGTGCTTTAACCCGCTGCGCCACCAGGGAGGGCCAAGGCTGATAATTTTTTATAGAAAAACTGGGGTGTAGGCCAGAGGTTCAGGGGGTGAGAGAATTCATCTGATGAATCCTCTGTTTCTGGACAGAGTGGGGAGCAGAACATGCAGATCTGCTGAGATACACTGCTGAGGGGAGCAGTGGGCAGGTCAGGAGAGGTCTGCTGCGTCCTGTGGGTCACTCCCAGGCAGAATAGAACTCAGGCCATGGCAGTGATAGTGCTGAGACTTACCCCCTAGGCCACCAAGGAGGCCCCCAAGGCTGACTATATTTGACAAGGATTCCCCTGGGGGCGCTGTGCGTGATGTCAGGCATCCCATCAAGTGGTCTCCACTGATTTTTCTCACTAATAGGGTTAAGATTGAGCCCAGAGGTAGCCTGCTGACCACTGTGATCATTCTTCACCCTGGTAGCGGTGAAGTATTGATTCTTTGGAGCTGTGCGAATTTGTAGTCCTCCATCAACCTTTCACTTAATGATGCTGGCGTCCTTGTCATGATCCATTATGTTTAGAAGCTTTCACTTGGCAACGTTTCTTAATAGATCGTTCACTCTACGTTGATTAACAGACAACTTTCGCTAAAGAACTTCCTTTCATCCAGAGGGCCCTTCAGATAAGGACAAATGAGGTGGTGGTGATTTTTTGTTTGTTTGTTTTGTTTTTTGCTGGATCTTTTTTCTTAACAACTTGTGGATTTTTCCATATACAACCTATACCAATCTCGTATGCTATTCATTTTGACACTCAGATTGTGTCTCTGTCGGTGGGGTCCTGACGCCACACCTGTGAGCCACTGTGTGTAGCGTTGCCTCCGGCCCAGAGCCTCAGACCCCAGCATGCCCTACTCTGGTGTGAACTTGAAGCATGTCTGTGCCTGCCGCACTCCCTGGAGGCTCTGCTCTGACTTAGGTTACCCAGAGCTAGAGAACGACAGGTCAGGTCATGGATAAGAATAGAAACCCACAGAGCAGGCACATCTCCCTGCTGGGCTCTGCCAGTGCACCAGAATGTTCTCCGATTGTGTGTGTGTGTATGGAGAGTCTAGAATTGTGTGTATGCGTCTATGTGGGATTATGTATGTGCCAGAGATTGTGTGTGTTATGTCTAGGATCGTGTGTGTGTGTGTCTGGGATTGTGTGTGTGTGTGCCTGGAATTGTGTGATGGAATTGTTTGTGTGTATCTGGGACTATATGTGTTGTGTCTGGGATTGTGTGTGTGTCTGGGATTGTGTATGTCTGGGATTGTGTGTGTTGTATCTGGGATTATGTGTGTGTGTGTGCCTGGGATTATGTGCATGTGTGGGATTGTGTCTAAGAAAGGCAGGGCCTAGCATGAATGTCAGTGGCCACTGCGCATGCCCCTCAGTTAGGAATCATTTCTGTGTTATCACTGCTGCTTCTTCTGGCCTTCATCAGAACAGGAGTCTCGGTTTTGGAATTAGCAACTGTTTCTTCCCCCCCCCCCTTTTTTTTTGGCACAAAGGATTCACCCTGGGAAGTTACCATTAAAGCAAAACATAAAACTGTGGTTCTTTGAAGCTAAGTCTTGGCAGGCCCCAGGCGAGGGACTCAGGCCCCCGCCCCGTCTGCTCTCCACAGCGGGAATGCATATCGGTCCACGTGGGTCAAGCAGGCGTCCAGATCGGCAACGCCTGCTGGGAGCTCTTCTGCCTGGAGCACGGCATCCAGGCGGATGGCACCTTTGGCGCCCAGGCCAACAAGATCAGCGATGACGACTCCTTCACCACCTTCTTCAGCGAGACCAGCAACGGCAAGCACGTGCCCCGGGCGGTTATGGTGGACCTGGAGCCTACCGTCGTAGGTGAGCGGGTGGGGAAGGTGAAGCTGCAGAACCAGAGGGTGGGGACAGCCGGTTGTAGCGCCCTCCACCCGCGTGACTGACCGTCTCTGTGTGGGGTACACAACAGGCTTCAGGAATTTCTGTTCCCACGCAGAACTCCAACCTATGCAGAACCAAACACTGTCTAGCTCAGACCTGAGAGCCTGCTGACACAGACAGAAATGGTCAGGAGCCTTTACTAGAGACTAAGAGCAGAAAACGCAAATAATTTTAGAAATAAGAAACTGCCGAGTCGTTTCCCAAAGTCTAGGTCTCTGAGTCTATAATCACCGCGGGCCTGGCCTATGCTTTATCTTACACCCGTAATGGGAGCATAGCAACCACATTCTGGCATGGCCAGAGGTCCTGTGTGGTTCTAGAATGAACCTCATTGGGATGGCGGAGAACAGGAATCCTGGCGGGTAGGGGTCCCTCTTCTAGAACCTGGAGTGTAGCTTGTTTCAAAGTCATTCTAAGAGCACTCTAGTGCCTGGAACTTACTACTACCACTTTGACATGGAGGTTGGGGTGACACAACTCCTAGGAGAGTCTAGAAAGTGGGTAGATCAAACAAACTTTTCTCTGTGTTCCTAGAACATTCTAATGCTAATGGGTTAAAATTGTGGGTAACCTTGCAGCATGAAATAAAACAAAAGGGATTCTTGAAGAGAGCAACGTGGAAGGAAGGGGAGACCATCCACCCTGGGGCTTTGGTGAGCTCTGTCCCTTAGGTTTTTTAAAGTTCCAGCCAGCAGAACTTGCTCCTTCCAGAGCCACAGGCTTTTGGCTTTGCTAGTGCCTGCCTGTTGCCTGGAAATTCTCTTAGCTTTTTGCAGGTTTGGGGTAGGGTTATCCATAAAACTCAGTGCAGTTGTCTAGGTAGGTAGGGAGAGGATGTCACATAGTTGTTCTCACAGGTAGGGGGCAGGAAGGAAGCCAGGTGGGAGCCAGGTGGAAGCCGGGAAGACCTGATGGCTCTCTTCCCCATAGATGAGGTTCGGGCTGGAACCTACCGCCAGCTGTTCCATCCAGAGCAGCTGATCACCGGCAAGGAGGACGCAGCTAACAACTATGCCCGGGGCCACTACACAGTGGGCAAGGAGAGCATTGACCTGGTGCTGGACCGCATACGGAAGCTGGTGAGTAAACCAGGGTGAGGGGTCAGCTGACAGGTTAGCGTGGACAGACTGGGAAGACACATGACTCCTGGCTCGGGAAAGACCCTAAGATTTGGAGGCTCCTGGTTATGTGCGGCCAGAAGCATTCACAGGAATGAAGGCCCTACCTCTGCCTGGACAGCCTGGACTCGAATCTGGTTAATACTTCCTTGACACTCGCTGGTAGGGTCCGGGGAGACTGCTGTATAAGGGAGCCCGGATCTTTAGTGATTGGAAGCAGAGGTTAACATAGCAGTTAACGTGGAAGAGGAAGAGACTGCTGATACGTTCGGTTCTTACAATACCATTACAAATGCAGCTCAATACATTCCTGTCAAAATAGTGGTGGGAAGGAAGTCTCTACCCTGTAGTTTACAGGTGAAGAAATGGAAGGGAAGGAAGGATCAATAGTACCCCCAGTCCTGCAGCTAGGAGGTGGCTGAGTTAGGGTTTGAACCAGGTTGGTTGATTTCAGAGAAGTCTAGGGTGAGTTGCTTTATTTATCTGAGTCCTTATTTCCTTATTTGTACAATGATCAGGTTGGGCATGACATTTACTTCGGAACTAAGGATACCACGTTTTTGTATAGGTTCACTCTTTCTGTTCAAAACCACTGAGCAGAACTCTCGTAGATTATACCCAGCGGGAAAATTCTTGGTTCTATGAGTTGTTTTTGTTCAGCTAAGAGGTAATTGTTGACATGTTGCCATGCTGATGTGTCAGATCCTTGCTCAGCACACACTATTTCATTTATCACAAAAACCTTACGAGGTGAGTATATTTTATTGTTCCCACCTGAACCTAGAAGAATCAGAAACCAAGAAAACTAAAGTCCAATAACTTACTGAAACTTTTGCAACTGTCAAATGGAAAAGTTGCTATCAAAACTCAGGTCCTCTGACCCCTCCGTATGGTGGAATTGGCTACCCTGTACCTTCTGAGCCTGCGCAAGCCAGCAGTTCCCGTGGAATCAAGTTTTTTCATTAAAAAATGCCTCCAGGGGTTAATTGTTCGAATTCATTATGAGGTATCATAGAAACAAAATGGCAGGGGAGGGGGCAGAAATAAAATGAAAAGTGGGGGGTAGAGGCAAGGAATTTGCTCTCACAGAGCAAAGTTACTAACCAACTTGGTTCTGAAACTCATTCCTGATCCAACCAAGTCCCTGGGCTGGAATTTCATGGCCCGAGGCATGTCCAGTACAGCTTCCACCCCGTTGTTTCTAGTCTCCCCAAGGTCAACAAAATTCTTGTTTCCTTACCCCTTCCAGGATGTTAATTTTACTCACAGGGTGACTCCCTGGTGGTGCAATGGGTTAAAGCCCAGCACTATGAAGCTATCGCAACCACTGCAGCACGAGTTCAATCCCCAGCCAGGGAGGTGACCCACATGGCGCAGCTGACCTCTCCTGACCCACCCTCTGCTCCCCTCAGCAGTGTATTTCAGTAGATCAGCCTGTTCTGCTCCCCACTCTGAGTCTGGTGAATCCTCTCACCCCTGTACCTCCAGCCTGCACCCCAGTTTTTGTGTGCATAAATAAATAATAAAAATAAATCTTTAAAAACAATGTGGAAGGGTGGGGTGGGGCGGTGGGGCAGAGTGGGCTGCCCGCCTTTGTCCACATGATATTCTTTGAAACGTGTCTTCCTGGTTTCTCCTCTTCTGCTGCTCTCCCCAGACAGACGCTTGCTCTGGCCTGCAGGGCTTCCTGATTTTCCACAGCTTCGGCGGGGGCACTGGCTCTGGGTTCACCTCCCTGCTGATGGAACGTCTCTCCCTGGACTACGGCAAAAAGTCCAAGCTGGAGTTTGCTATCTACCCGGCCCCCCAGGTGTCCACAGCTGTAGTTGAGCCCTACAACTCCATCCTCACCACCCACACCACCCTGGAGCACTCTGATTGCGCCTTCATGGTGGACAACGAGGCCATCTATGACATCTGCCGCAGGAACCTGGACATCGAACGCCCCACCTACACCAACCTCAACCGCCTCATCAGCCAGATCGTGTCCTCCATCACTGCCTCTCTGCGCTTTGATGGGGCACTCAACGTGGACCTCACCGAGTTCCAGACCAACCTGGTGCCCTACCCCCGCATCCACTTCCCTCTGGTCACCTACGCCCCTATCATCTCTGCTGAGAAAGCCTACCATGAACAGCTGTCTGTGGCCGAGATCACCAGCTCCTGCTTTGAGCCGGCCAGCCAGATGGTGAAGTGTGACCCAAGACATGGCAAGTACATGGCCTGCTGCATGTTGTACCGGGGGGACGTGGTCCCCAAGGATGTGAACGTCGCGATTGCTGCCATCAAGACCAAGAGGACCATCCAGTTTGTAGACTGGTGTCCCACGGGCTTTAAGGTGAGAGCTGACGGCTTAAAGAAGAGGTAAACTGGAGAGGGAGAGCAAAAATGGGGGTGATCGATGCGTAAACCCCAGGTCCTGGAGTGATGAGCAGTTTCATGGGAATGTCACACTTTAGTTAAGGTTACCTTCAACTATAGGTAAGGAGAGACTCTATTGCATAATAATATTGAAATGAGGAGGCGGACCAGTAACTTCTTTTGTCTCTCCTACTGTAAGACCTAAAAATGTCTCAGAGGTCATAGAGCAAAGACCTCTTTTATAGAGGAGAGAGCGACACTGGAGAGAACCACTTTGGGCACGAGGCCATGAGCTCACAATAGATCAGAGGGTGGCGTTAACCACATCGCATCAACTGCCAGGGAAGTAGAAGTCCCTCCTCTAACAAAGCATCTGCCTTTCTCCCAGTTTATTTTGAAAAATTAAATGTCCACCCTGCCAGACTTAATCCATTCAGACTTAGGACAAACATTTTATGGCTGTTAAATGAGTGTGGTTATTTCTGTTATGAAGCTCTGCCATTTTCCACTCACCAGGGAATGAGCAGAAGCTAGAGAAGCTGAGTGGCCTGGTATAGATCAGCTGTCCATCGTCTGGAAAATGCTAGGTTCTGGGGAGAATGAGAGCAGCCTGGATCCCAGGACCAATGACCATTGAATGCCAACAGCCACAGCCTGGCCCTGCCCCTTTCCAGGGGCACTGGCAAGGCAGACAGCTGACCCTGCACACGTGAACTGCTTGGCCACTGTGCTGTGCTGGTGGGCCCTAATCTGACTCCGCCATCAAAATAACTCCACCATTTACACACTTACATGGATCAGTGCCCTCACCCCCAGTTACACCTTTGATAATTCAGAGCTGTCCCGGCCCCCAGGGATGGTGTGCCAGGTGCTAGAAATCCGGAGATGAACATATTCCTGCGGAGAGTACAAAAATGAGGTACCATATACCTGGCAACCTCTTGGTTGACCTGTTTGCCCACGAGGCTTGGACCTAGCTGTTCTGCTGAGTAAAGGAGCCAGCATTCTGCCTCCCTGCCCTGCTCCTTGCGACGTAAATAATCCTTGTTTTGGACTAAGCCTATTTTTATGTGGCCGTTCTGGTCACTCTTGGGGAGAGAGCCAAGAGCTTTAAAAAGAGGGAGCTCTTTTCTCTTTTACAAATGTAAACAACAAGAAGCTAGCAGGAAGATGAGTAATAAAAGAGTCAAAAGAAAAGATCTGAGGGTGATAAAAAATAGACAGGAGTTGCCTCTATTTTTTCTCTAATCTTAAGCTGAAGCTCTGGGGTTATATCCAGAAAGATACAACAGCCAAGCCTCTGGCTGTCTCTCTGAAAGCCACATGCCAAAGGCTTGGGGGGGGGGGCCACGCAGTTTGGAATCCTCTTCCATCCTCCCCAAGGACCTTTGTCCTCTCTTGACTCAGGTCAGGGCAAGATCTGTTCAAAAGAAGAGAATTGACTCTAGGCACAGTTACTACTGATTTCTCACCTCCTTTATTTTTAAGATTGTCCCATCTTTTACTGAGGCGACAGCATGGATGTGCGTTAGGGATACAGGTGTACTGGCTTCAGACGCACGTTACCTCATGCCATGGCCCCCACCAAAACCCCAGTAACCCCCCAGGTAGCCCATGGGGCCTCCCCCAGGGCCTCAGATCCACTTTGCTCCCCACTCTCACCCTCTGGTAGCCTCAATCCTGCAGCCATATTTCTAGGGTTTGTTTTAGTTAACTAGTACCATTTGTTTTTTATAATCCACATGAGTGAAATCATCCAGGAATTTGTCTTTCTCCTTCTGACTTATTTCCCTTAGTACAGTTCCCTTCAATCCCTTCCATGTTGCCACACGTGGCATGAGTCCATTTTTTCTTCTAATACCTCAGTGCTATTTGCTTTGCACCTCTGCCACAGCGGGGCCTGGGCCCTGTGGTGGCCCTTAGTCATTTCCACTGGGAGAGTTTGTGGCCGTTTGAATTAGGGATTTCACCTTCTTCAGGTGGATAATGAGGAGCAGGATTTCTGGTCCACCTGGTAGATCTATTTTTAATATTTGGCGTCATCTGCCTGCTGTTTCCCATCGGGGCCAGACCAGTCGGCATTCCTTTTTCTCCACACCCTTGCCAATACTTGTTGACCTTCTGATGAGGGCCGTTCTCACGGGGTTGAGATGGTAGCTCATTCTGGTTTGGGTTTGCATTTCCCTGATAGTAAGTGATAACGTTTTTTACCATCACCCCTGTGTCTTCTTTGGAGAAATGTCTGTTTAGGGTCTTCTGCCCATTTTTTGACTGGAATTTTTGTTTTCTCATTAAGTTATATGAGTTCTTTCTAGATTTTGATCATCGTCCATGTTGGACAGACACTGTACAAATGTTTTTTTCACAACCCCTAGGCTCTCTTTCTGTTTTAATGATAGTATATTTTATATTTCACTGAGGAGAAGGTTTTTGTTTGCCAGAGTACTTACACTAACCTTCTGACCTTTGGACCTTTTCATTTAATGCTCTGGGAGCATCCCAGGACCTCTCAAGCAGACTTTCACCTTTGGCAGAGAAAGTTCTCTAAATTTAGGAACAACATAAAAAAAGAGGAACTACAGCTTGCCAGCCAGAAAATAAACATTATTAAAACTTCAAGTCTAGAAAGCAAGTTGACTTCCAATTCAGAGAGAACACGTTATCACGTAATTCCCCATTCAACACTATAGTCATGGCCCTCACTTGTCCCCACTAACATTTCCAGCTGTGATCTGCCCGGTTCTCCTTTCTCCTCCAGTTTTTAGGTGCCCCAGGCCTTCCTCCTGAGCTTTCCAGCCCTACCTCACTTTCTTCAACACTCACCTCCCCTACCTGCCTGAGTCCCCCCCCAATCCTCTTTTTATGCTCCTGTCCCCACACCCATGACCGACCCATGTCTTGCCTCCTGTGACTGGCCTCCATTGTCTTGCATTGCTCCTTCTCTTTCTCTGTTTCTCAGGTGGGCATCAACTACCAGCCTCCCACGGTGGTCCCCGGGGGAGACCTGGCCAAGGTGCAGCGGGCCGTGTGCATGCTGAGCAACACCACAGCCATCGCTGAGGCCTGGGCCCGCCTGGACCACAAGTTTGACCTGATGTACGCCAAGCGGGCCTTTGTCCACTGGTACGTGGGGGAGGGCATGGAGGAAGGGGAGTTTTCTGAGGCCAGAGAGGACCTAGCTGCCCTGGAGAAGGACTACGAAGAAGTGGGGACTGATTCATTTGAAGAAGAAAATGAAGGGGAGGAATTTTAAATATACACGTGCCCCTTGGCTGTGTCTCTTTATTTATGCTGCTCCACTAAAGCACACTTCACTTTCCCAGAGTAACCCTGGCTTGGTGAGAGGGAGGGTAGCCACCACCAGTACCCAGGGGTGGCAGGGCCAGAAATAGGCACTGAGCTCTGAGCTTCCTTGGGGAAGGGCACTTTTGTGTCACTAAAGAAGGTGAGAGTCATGGTCTCTGGATTGGGTTGAAGTCAAGTCACATGTGTGAGGAGGCAGCATCAGAGTTTCCGTTCCAGATTAGGCTGTGCCCATCCTAGAGCACGGTCTGTGGCTGGGGATGGTAAAATACCCAGGGCAGGGAAAGATCTGGACTCCAGGGAGCATCTCGGGAGGGGCACTGTGCTAAGAGTGGGAGAGAGAACAAATCAGACTCCCTCCTGTCCTTGTAAACACACAAAATTAACTTGATAACCTCAGGGGATGCCAAGTGATATTGTTAATGGGGACTGTGGGCTTAACGGACTCATCTGTGCATTTAAAAGGACCTAATAAGATTCAACTGCAGGCACACACAAGAAGGTTAAGAAAGGGATCATTTACAAAGGGAGGGGAAATGAGTAACTTGGAGAAAAAGAGTGGGAGATAAGTTGGTGATGGTGTCCTACCCGTTCCGCTGACCTGGGACCCCAACAGCATGCTGAGAGCCGGCAAAAGCCAAGAGCCAAACCATGAGCCAAGAGGCCAAGAGACCCACAGGGCCCACATGGCTGATTTTCTATCAGATACGGCTGTTTAACTCACCCTCAACAAGGCAAGGATGCTGGGATTTGTAGTTCTGGTGTCTGGGGTGGGGGGTGGAGTCCACAAAACCTGGTCTGCAGAGTTCATTCAGGACATTGTTTCCCCATAACAAAATGAAATGAAACAGCATCAGTGATGGGAGGAAGGGCCTGGTGACCACTCTTTTCCTGTGGGGATCAGTGACGATCTTGGGGTGACCCAACAGGAAAGCATGGTCACGTGAAGCTCTGGGGTCATCGTGCCAGTAGAGAGGCCAACATGGATGTGGGGACCAGCTCAGAGTGAAGGACAGAGAGAAGGACAGTGCTCCTGGAGGCTGGAGAGAGGGAGAGCCCGGAGCTTCGCAGAGCTGCAGCCTGTTCAGCCTGACAGGCCATGGTCTGAAGGCGAGCCTTTTTCTAAGTGAATCAAGCATTTGGAGAGTTTTATTAGGATATTGGCTGCTACACTTTCTCTCTACAAACACACATACATAAACACACATACCTTATCTCTACTCCTCCCAACAATCTCAAAATGGATATTGTGTAGATTTTCAGATGAAGAAACTGAGGTGTAGGGTGTTTTGTGGTAGCAAGAGGAAGAGGTGCAGCCCAGACAGTGGGGACCACTAGCTCCTGTCCACCCAGTTCTGTGTCCATCCCTTAGTATTTGTGCCAGGTTCTCAGTGCTGAATGAGGGATAAATGACAGATGGGGAGGAGCAAAAGTCTCCATCATTTATAAACGAGAGGATGAGTTAGTACATTTCTTCCCTGAGGTAGGCAGCTCTGACAGGATTTTTTTTTTTAAAGATTTATTTATTCGTACAGAACTGGGATACAGGCCAGAGATGTGGAGGGTGAGAAGATTCACTAGAGACAGAGCAGGGAGCAGAACAGGCAGATCGACGAAGTACACTGCTGAGGGGAGCAGCGGGCGGGTCAAGAGAGGTCTGCTGCGCCATGTGGTCACCTCGGGGCAGGCGGGAATCGAACTCATGCGGAAGTGGCTTAAGCTTCTTAGTGCAGTGCTTTAACCCGCTGCGCCACCAGGGAGGGCCTGACAGGATTTTTTAGAAGAAAAAATCTAAAGCCGTCTTCATCTACTGGCAAGATATTCAGGGTTGGCCCACTGTAGGCCCATGTGCATTAAACGTGCATCTCACTACTGACTTTCCCCAAGTGTTTCTAGCCTCCATTCTGTGGAAGCCCTGAGAAAAGTGAAACAAACTCTTCCAAGAAAAGACTAGATAAGAAGTGATGCTAATTACACTAGAAGATTATGTGTGCAGAGACCCCATATGTTTTTGCTCTTCCAGGAAAGCAATTATAGTACTAAAAGTAATGTTTCGGATCTGTCCACTGCAGCCTCCCCTATCTGCAATCACCCCTGCAACTTAGCTGTGTCAGCAAATAAGGGCAGGAGCCGACAGCACTATTTCGGGAAATTCGGGCAAGCGTTCTTCTTGATAGAAGTTAGCGGCCAGCTGGTGGATTTAAGATAAGCCTCAAAGGACTTCCTGAGTTTCTAACTGTGACCTAGTTAGGGGAACAATACACCCCCTGGCCAAGGTGAGGGCCAGGTAATCACCTGTGGTACACTCCTTTCCTCCAGATCTTTATGAATTTGGTTAAAACAGCAGTCACCGAAGTGATGGTGAGAGGTATGAGGACAGGAGGGCGAGGCTGGGAGAGCATGAGAGACAAAGATTTAAGGGCCTGGGATGATCTCACCTCTGTTTTTCCCCATTTTTCTTCATTTGGCTGGTCTCTGCCCACTCATGGGCACCTCTAATTGCTCAGTGCAGCGTAGATGGGAGAAAATAAGCTTTCTTGGCTTTGTTCGTGAAGTAGGGTAGTGAATTCCAGAGCTGGGATAAGGGTCTCCAGAAAGAGAAAGAATAGGAGAGTGGGTGGTTCCTTACCAACTCCTTGCAAAGAAAAACAAAGAACCAGACAGACTCACTAGTGAATTCTACCAACTTTCAAAGATGAATCAACGCATATCCTTTTCAAGCTCTTCCAAAATACCAACAGGGAACCCCTCCAGGCACATTTTCTGAGGTTAGCAACACCAGATAAAGACACCACAAAAATGAAAGCTACAGACCAATCTCCCTAATGAACATAGATGGAAAAATTCTGAATAAAATCTTTGCAAATCAAATTCAGCCATACACTAAAAGAATAATCACATGCTACGGCCAAGTGGAGTTTATTCCAGGGACATAGGATAGAGGGAAAATCTAATTCACACTATTAGAAACAATATAAATTTCTGTGTAAAGATAAAAGAATGGCAAAGAAATCTTAAACTTTACTTAGAAATTTACTGTTGGTAGGAATGTGCTCCTAGCTCTTCCGAAATGACTGGGTTATCAGGGTGAGCAAACAAATAAATCGATATTAATGCCGCATGTGTTCTCACAGTGCGGGGGGGGGGGACTATAGCTAGAGAACAGAACAGAAAAAAGAATAACCCTGTAATAGTGAATAATATTGCAACACTGGGAGGGAACTAGAGACTTCAGTTTGATTCAAGTTGTTTATTTAAATAAATTAAAAAAAAAAAAACCTACCTCCTAGCTCTTCTTTTAAAAAGAATTGGAACAAAATCCCCAGAAGCTGTCAGGGTCTTGAATGCCAAAATCTTGGCTTTTCAATAGCATTCCCACCTAAAGGGAATTATGACTTGTTAGAGAACTGGCTGATTTCAGGAATGCGGAGGAAAAGGTACATGGTGAACCTGGAACATCTCGTGCCAGAAAATGATGAGATACTCAAAGAATGGAGAGGAAATACCACAAGGGTCACAGGACATAGACACCAGCTTGACAGTGTCCTTACGCATCAGTCTGAACATCAACAGGGGTGAGGACAGTCTGCATGAAATGAAAAAGAATGTTGAGTTCATATAGATGAAAAGAAGCAAAAAAGCAAGGCGTTAGGGAGAAGGAAATGCTTTTCAGGAGACCACTAACAATGTATAGAACATAAGTCATTAGGGGATGCTAAAATCATCGGGTGAAAGTTGTTTATCAAAGATAAGCAAGACCAGATATTCATGAAAGCCAAGAAAGCAGATTTTATTCAGTAACTACTAACGGTAAGAACAAGAGTTGAGCTCCATTTTGACTTGCACGGAGGTGACTGGTCTCTCACTGGGAGAATTTAGAGGCAGGGGAGTGCAGTGATACGAGTGAAGGAGACTAGGCCAGGGCACCCACTAACTGTTCGGGAAGTGTGACTTTTATGTTCCCACAAAGAATGGGAGGCCAAGATCTGAGCCTTCCTGATGGTTGCAATGTAAGGAATGAGCTAGGATCTTGAGGTGCAGGAGACACAGACACAATTCACAGAGACAGAGAGGAGTCACCAAGGTGAGCACATCCTCTAAGAAAGGGAAGTCAATTAGCAGGTGCTGGGTAGAACAAATAAGTTATTAACATTTTAATAATATTTGACTTAATGTTTTCATTTGACTTAATAAGTTATTGTCCAGAAGTTTTCCAGGCAATAAATGAAAAGAAGGGTGATGCATATGACGGCCATATGCAAATCTCTTCGCATTAGTTCTTACGACTGCAAATGACAGCTGTAAGAAACATGCAGAGATTGTGAGTTTTCCCAACACTATTTTGTTGAAGGGACTGATTTCTCCAGTTTACACTCTTGGCTCCTTCGCCATAAAATAACTATCCATTTAGACACAGAGTATTCCTACTCTCTCAGGAAACTGCCAAAATTCTCTTCCAGGGTAACTGTACCATGTTGCATTTCTACCAGCAATATATCTGCCATCCAGTTTCCCAACAGCCCTGCCAACATTTAGTTATCACAAAATCTCAATGAATGAGATTATGACTTGGATTCTCTGTGGGGAAAAGGTTGATATAAAGAACATTATTAGGATAATTAGCAAATCTAGCCTATGGACACAGCAGACCTCTCCTGACCTGCCCGCTGCTCCCCTCAGCAGGGCACTTCCTCAGTTCTGCCTGTTCATCAGTTCCCCACTCTTCTCTGGGGAAGCCTCTCACCACCCCTGCACCTGTGGCCTGCACCCCAGTTCTATATGCATAAATAAATAAATCTTTATTTAAAAAAAAGAAAATTGTTTCCATATTAAATGTTCTTAATTTAATAGTAATTGCACTGGAGTTATTTAATATCTCTGATAACAGGACATACATTGAACTCATTCAATTCTGCCATGTAGTTAAAAAAAAAGGTGTATGGCCCTCCCTGGTGGCGCAGCGGG